AATCTCACGCCCACGTTAGACAAATCTCACCCACGTTAGACAAATCTCACGCCCACGATAGACAAATCTCACCCACGATAGACAAATCTCACACCCACGATAGAAAAATCTCACACCCACGATAGACAAATCTCACCCACGTTAGACAAATCTCACACCCACGATAGACAAATCTCACCCACGATAGACAAATCTCACGCCCACGTTAGACAAATCTCACCCACAATAGACAAATCTCACATCCACGACAGACAAATCTCACGCCCACGTTAGACAGATCTCACCCACGATAGACAAATCTCACACCCACGACAGACAAATCTCACGCCCACGATAGACAAATCTCACAACCACGTTAGACAAATCTCACACCCACGTTAGACAAATCTCACACCCACGTTAGACAAATCTTACACCCACGTTAGACAAATCTCATGCCCACGTTAGACAAATCTCACACCCACGATAGACAAATCTCACACTCACGATAGACAAATCTCACGCCCACGATAGACAAATCTCACGCACGATAGACAAATCTCACGCACGATAGGAGATGGAGTCTTCCTCAGTGGCCCGCGATCACAAATTTCTATTTAACTCCATCAAAAAAGTAACCTGCAGCGCCACACCTATTACCATCATTAGGGGAAAAAACGGTGATCCAATCTCCGACCCCCAGGAACAGGTTTGCAGATTTGCTGAGCATTTCTGTGAGGTCCTGGGGGAGGGGATATCCCTCAGCCAGGAAAACATCTTGGCACAAAGTGAGGATGACCCTGCTGAGGCTGCGGTGCCTCAAATATTGGAAGAAGTCACCCCCTGTGAGTGGCTGGCTGAGGTGCCATCTGTTGAGGAAGTACTGAAGGTGATCCGGAGTCTGAGACCAGGAAAGGCACCGGGCAGAGATGATCTCCCAAGCGAAATGCTGAGGGACGGTGGCGTTTGTGCACAGACTGCCCTACATGACATCATAACAACAGTCTGGACCACTGGACGGGTTCTGCAGGATTGGAAGGATGCCCTGGTGGTCCCCTTCTTTAAGAAGGGGGACCGCACAGACTGTAACAACTACAGGGGCATCTCACTCCTCAGTGTGCCGGGCAAGGTCCTGGCAAGGATTATTCAACATGGCCTTGCCAGGCACGCTGAGGAGAGGCTTGCGGAGCCCCAATGCGGTTTCAGGAAAGGGCGGTCCTGCACAAATGCCATATTTTCTGTCCGTCTGCTACAGCAGAGGTGTAGGGAATTCCAACAAGACCTACATCTCTGCTTTATTGACCTGGTCAAGGCCTATGATACCATCAGTAGGCCTGGGCTCTGGGTTGTTCTTCGTGCTTTTGGAGTACCTGACCCTCTGCTCACGATCATTAAGGACCTTCATGATGGTGAGCGGGCCCGGGTAAAACTACGTGGCCGGGAGTCCGAGCCATTCCCTGTACACCTTGGGGTGCGACAGGGGTGTCCTCTGGCTCCCACATTATTTAACATCTATTTTGACCACGTAGTTCGTGAAGCCTTCAATAGCTGTACCGGGGGAATCTCCATATGGTACAGATATAATGGGAGGCTGATCGATGACCGGGTGCGGTCAAGGGATGGCTCCCTATTGCTCAACCATGTTATGTATGCTGATGATTTGGTAATAGCTGCTCATTCAGAGGAGGAGTTGGAGACGCTGCTGCTGAGACTGGAGCGTGCCACTAAGAGATGGGGCCTTACCATCAGCTCCACCAAAACTAAGCACGTGCCTGGGTATTTGTACCATCGGACACTCCACCCCAACAACTCCCAATCAGTGATGGGGCATTTGTGGAGAGAGTGGAGAGTTTCCCATACCTGGGCAGTGTGCTTATGACTGGCTCCAGTTTAACAGCAGAGGTCTCACTCCGAATCAGCCGAGCGGCAATATCTTTTCATCGTTTGCTTAACACTGTGTGGAAGCTACCTGGTCTGTCGCTCCACACTAAGCTTCAGGTCTTCTCGGCCACGGTCATTCCCTCCCTTCTCTATGCTTGCGAAACGTGGACCCCCCCTAATGGAACATCTTCGCCGGTTAGAAACATTTAGGCTGGCCTGCCTACGATCTATCCTGGGTTTAACCAGACTGGATTGCGTAAGGAGCTCACAAATCCTTGAAAGATCTGGGAAAGGTCCCATCGGTGAGCTCCTCCGGCGTGCAAGGCTGCGATGGCTGGGTCATGTAGCCCGCATGCCCAGTCACCGCATGCCGAAACAGCTTTTGTTCGTCCGGATTGAGGGGGCTAAGCGGGCACGGGATGGGCTAGAGAAGAGATGGAGTGATGTGGTACAGGAGGACGTGGAGCTGAGTGGACTTGCCGATGACTGGTACCAGCGGTGTCAAGATCGGCCTCTGTGGAGGAGGCTCGTGAAGGACGCTACTGGGCAGTTGGAGGCAGTCGCCCTCCAACAACAACGGAGGGCGGAGGAGCGACGCTCACAACAACGAGCGGAGCGCCGGGTGGCTAAAGCACAGCAGGTTCGCACAGTAGGGAGCACAGGTGGTGCATCAGCCAGTCATCTCAGTCAGTCGACCCGTGGCACCTGGGTCTGCCCCGTGACCTCCTGCCAGCGTGCGTTCGACACTTCACGTGGCCTCAAGGTGCACATAGCGTGGTACAAGCGTCGTGGTGACGTCACCACCACTTAGTGGTGAATGGCGGTTGTTGTTGTTGTGTCTGTGTGTGTGTGAGTCCGGCAAAACAACCCCTACCTCCTCGTGGTGCCAGACGGGTAACTCTGTCGTGGACAGTGCTGTGGGGGGAGGTCCAATTGTGATTGGCTCCTCCCACATGGCATATGTGTCCACCACAGGGGCTAAACGGGGGCTCTGGACGGGTGCGAGGGGCTGGTGACCCCTCCACCTTCAATTAATTACCACTAAACCGCGAATTAAACTGAAAAATGTAACTAATAAGCTTGTGCCGGAGGCCCCGGGGGGCCAGGCGTCTATGACGTCTCCTGGCCAAACCCCAATTGGCGGAGCCAGGAGATTGAATATCTACCCTCGGGGCTCCTTCAGAAACAACGAAAAGCCACTACGGGTGGCCACGTGGAATGTTCGAACGCTCACTGCGGAGGAGAGGCTGCCACTCCTCTGTCGGGAGCTGGACCGGTACCGCCTGGATCTATGTGGCATTCAGGAGGTCCGGTGGACCGGCTCTGGCTCCTGCCACCATGGGGGATGGACAGTCCTCTACTCGGGGCAGCAGACTGACAAATAACAGGGTGTGGCTCTTCTTTTGAACAAAAGAATGAAGGGGGCGTGGGAGTGTGGCGGTGAGGTGTGGGAAGCTGTAAGCCCCAGGCTACTTTGGGCTCGCCTTCCCATCAACCGGAGGCGAGGAATGGTGGTCGTGGTTACTTATGCCCCCACCGAAGATGAACATCCGTGGAGGGATGCAGGCAAAGCCGATGAGTCAGATGCCTTCTATGACCTCCTGTCACAGGTGCTGGCTAAAGTGGCCCCTCGGGATAGAGTCATCATGTTGGGTGACTTCAATGCCCGAGTTGGTCATGATACTGGCACCTGGTCTGGAGTGATTGGAGGGCATGGGCCAGATCAGCTCAATAACAACGGTAGGAGGCTGCTAGATTTTTGTGCAGCCCATGGACTTGTAATTACCAAGACGCTGTTCCGGCATTGGCGCATCCACACAACATCATGGATGCATGCTGGGTCCAGGCAAGAACATCTGCTGGACTACAAAGTGATGGACCAGCGGATGCGAGCCCATGTCCTTGACACCAGGACCTACCGTGGAGCTGACCTGCCCTCTGACCATCGACTAGTCATCTGTAAGATGCGCCTGCCATTCTTCCACTCCGATGGTGGGTGTACACCCAGGACCCCATTCCAACCTAAAGTGGCCTGGTCTCAGTTATCTGATGAAAGTTGCAAGCGAGAATTTCATCATTGCTTGCGGCTGGGATTGGTATCGTCCCTGACTCCTCCTGATGTCGAGGGTAAATGGGCGAGGTTTAGGACTGTGACTCATGCAGCTGCAATGGCTGCTTTGGGTACGCGGTCCAGACCTCCCCAGAGATCCTGGTTGACAGAGGAGGTGTTCAGGATGGTTGAGAAAAAGCGACAGGCCCACTGTCATCGGCTACAGAATCCCACGTCAGAGAATGAGGAGGCTTAGAGCAGCCTTTGCTCGGAGGTTCGGAGAGCCTTGAGGCGCTGCAAGGATGGGTGGTGGTCGCGGGTTGCTGAGGAGATGGAGTCTGCCTCAGTGGCCCGTGATCACAAATCTCTATTTAACTCCAAAAAAGTAATCTGCAGCGCCACACCTATTACCATCATTAGGGGAAAAAACGGTGACCCAATCTCCGACCCCCAGGAACAGGTTTGCAGATTTGCTGAGCATTTGAGGTCCTGGGGGAGGGAAAATCCCTCAGCCAGGAAAACATCGTGGAACAAAGTGGGGATGACCCTGCTGAGGCTGCGGTGCCTCAAATATTGGAAGAAGTCACCCCCTGTGAGTGGCTGGCTGAGGTGCCATCTGTTGAGGAAGTACAGAAGGCGATCCGGAGTCTGAGACCAGGAAAGGCAGCGGGCAGAGATGATCTCCCAAGCGAAATGCTGAGGGACGGTAGCGTTTGTGCACAGACTGCCCTATATGACATCATAACAACAGTCTGGACCACTGGACGGGTTCCGCAGGATTGGAAGGATGCCCTGGTGGTCCCCCTCTTTAAGAAGGGGGACCGCACAGACTGTAACAACTACAGAATCTCCATATGGTACAGATATAATGGGAGGCTGATCGATGACCGGGTGCTCAACCACGTTATGTATGCCGATGACTTGGTAATAGCTGCTCAGTCAGAGGAGGAGTTGGAGACGCTGCTGCTGAGACTGGAGCGTGCCACTAAGAGGTGGGGCCTTACCATCAGCCCCACCAAAACTAAGCACCTGCCTGGGTATTTTGTACCATCGGACACTCCACCCCCACCACCCCACCAGGGCTCCTCACCGGCGCCCTGCCGCTGTGCACGAGGATGTTGAAGTTTGTCCGCGCCGTGGCGCTGGGGATGGGCGCTGCCGGCGCCGGCAGGCTCCAGGTGACGCCGTAGCGGCACCGCCGCCCCCACCAGCGGCGCTCCTCGCACACAAACTCGGTGCAGTGAAGCCACAGAGGGGAGCGCTGCCACGTCTGGGGGGGGTGGGGGTAGGGGGGGGGGTGGGGGGTGTGGGTGGGGGGGCGAGAGGAGGGGGGTTGAGAGAGAGGATGGGTCGTACCTGGCAAGGTGTAGCACCTGGCAAGGTGTGGTAACCTGGCAAGGTGTCGGTACCTGGCAAGGTGTGGTACCTGGCAAGGTGTGGTACCTGGCAAGGTGTAGGCACCTGGCAAGGTGTAGTACCAGGCAAGGTGTAGTACCTGGCAAGGTGTGGTACCTGGCAAGGTGTGGTACCTGGCAAGGTGTAGTACCTGGCAAGGTGTAGTACCAGGCAAGGTGTGGCACCTGGCAAGGTGTGGCACCTGGCAAGGTGTGGTACCTGGCAAGGTGTGGTACCTGGCAAGGTGTGGTACCTGGCAAGGTGTGGTACCTGGCAAGGTGTAGCACCTGGCAAGGTGTAGTACCAGGCAAGGTGTAGTACCTGGCAAGGTGTGGTACCTGGCAAGGTGTGGTACCTGGCAAGGTGCTACACCTGGCAAGGTGTAGCACCTGGCAAGGTGTAGCACCTGGCAAGGTGTAGTACCTGGCAAGGTGTAGTACCAGGCAAGGTGTAGTACCTGGCAAGGTGTAACACCTGGCAAGGTGTGGTACCTGGCAAGGTGTGGTACCTGGCAAGGTGTAGCACCTGGCAAGGTGTAGCACCTGGCAAGGTGTAGCACCTGGCAAGGTGTAGTACCAGGCAAGGTGTAGTACCTGCAAGGTGTAGCACCTGGCAAGGTGTAGTACCTGGCAAGGTGTAACAGCTGGCAAGGTGTAGTACCAGGCAAGGTGTAGTACCTGGCAAGGTGTAACACCTGGCAAGGTGTGGCACCTGGCAAGGTGTGGTACCTGGCAAGGTGTAGCACCTGGCAAGGTGTAGCACCTGGCAAGGTGTAGTACCAGGCAAGGTGTAGTACCTGGCAAGGTGTAGCACCTGGCAAGGTGTAGTACCTGGCAAGGTGTAACAGCTGGCAAGGTGTAGTACCAGGCAAGGTGTAGTACCTGGCAAGGTGTAACACCTGGCAAGGTGTAGTACCTGGCAAGGTGAAGCACCTGCTACACCTGGCAAGGTGTAGTACCTGGCTAGGTGTAGTACTTGGCAAGGTGTGGCACCTATCAAGGTGTAGTACCTGGCAAGGTGTAGTACCTGGCAAGGTGAAGCACCTGCTACACCTGGCAAGGTGTAGTACCTGGCTAGGTGTAGTACTTGGCAAGGTGTGGCACCTGGCAAGGTGTGGCACCTGGCAAGGTGTGGCACCTGGCAAGGTGTAGCACCTAGCAAGGTGTAGTACAGCAAGGTGTAGTACCTGGCAAGGTGTAGCACCTGGCAAGGTGTAGCACCTATCAAGGTGTAGTACCTGGCAAGGTGTAGCACCTGGCAAGGTGTAGCACCTATCAAGGTGTAGGTAGCACCTATCAAGGTGTAGTACTGGGTAGGTGTAGCACCTATCAAGGTGTGGCACCTGGCAAGGTGTGGCACCTGGCAAGGTGTATACCTATCACGGTGTAGTACCTGGCAAGGTATAGTACACCTGGCAAGGTGGTAGATACCTGGCAGGTGTATACCTGGCAGGTGTAGGCACCTGGCAGGTGGTAGCACCTAGGCAAGGTGTAGGCACCTATCAAGGTGGTAACACCCTGGAGCAAGGTGTAAGCACCGAGGCAAGGTGTAGTACCCCTGGCAATGTGTAGCTACCTGTCAAGGTTATAGTACCCCTGGGCAAGGGTGTAGCTACCTAGGCAGTTGTGAGCTATCCTGGCAGAGGTGTGGTACACCTGGCAAGGTGTAGCATCCTTGGTCAAGGTGTAGCACCTGGCAAGGTCATGTGAGTACCTATCAAGGTGGTAACACCTGGCAAGGTGTGACACCTGGCAAGGTGTAGCTACCTAGGCAAGGTGTCGTACCCTGGCAGGGTATGGTACCGCTGCAAGGTGTAGCACCTGGCAAGGTGTAGCACCTATCAAGGTGTAGTACCTGGCAAGGTGTAGCACCTGGCAAGGTGTAGTACCTATCAAGGTGTAGCACCTGGCAAGGTGTAATACCTGGCAAGGTGTAGTACCTATCAAGGTGTAGCACCTGGCAAGGTGTAGCACCTGGCAACGTGTAGCACCTGGCAAGGTGTAGCACCTGGCAAGGTGTAGCACCTATCAAAGTGTAACACCTGGCAAGGTGTAGCACCTGGAAAGGTGTAGTACCTGGCAAGGTGTAGTACCTGGCAAGGTGTAGCACCTGGCAAGGTGTAGTACCTGGCAAGGTGTAGTACCTGGCAAGGTGTGGCACCTATCAAGGTGTAGTACCTGGCAAGGTGTAGTACCTGGCAAGGTGTAGCACCTGGAAAGGTGTAGCACCTGGCAAGGTGTAGCACCTGGCAAGGTGTAGCACCTATCAAGGTGTAGTACCTGGCAAGGTGTAGCACCTGGCAAGGTGTAGTACCTGGCAAGGTGTAGTACCTGGCAAGGTGTAGTACCTGGCAAGGTGTAACACCTGGCAAGGTGTAGTACCTGGCAAGGTGTAGTACCTAGCAAGGTGTAGCACCTGGCAGGTGTAGTACCTGGCAAGGTATAGCTACCTGGTAAGGTGTAGTACCTGGCAAGGTTTGTTACGACCTACTGGCAAGGTGTAGTACCTGGCAAGGTGTAACAGCTGGCAAGGTGTAGTACCTGGCAAGGTGTAGCACCTATCAAGGTGTAGTACCTGGCAAGGTGTAGTACCTGGCAAGGTGTAGTACCTGGCAAGGTGTAGCACCTGGCTAGGTGTAGTACCTAGCAAGGTGTAGCACCTGGCAAGGTGTAGTACCTGGCAAGTGTGTAGTACCTGGCAAGGTGCTACACTTGGCAAGGTGTAGTACCTGGCAAGGTGTAGCACCTATCAAGGATGTAGTACCTGGCAAGGTGTAGCACCTGGCAAGGTGTAGCACCTGGCCAGGTGTAAGTACACCTGGCAAGGTGTGTACCTGGCAAGGTGTAAGCACCTGGGCCAGGTGTAGCACCTTGCAAGGTGTAGCACCTATCAAGGTGTACCACCTGGCAAGGTGTAGCACCTGGCAAGGTGTAACACCTGGCAAGGTGTAGCACCTGGCCAGGTGTAGTACCTGGCAAGGTGTAGTACCTGGCAAGGTGTAGTACCTGGCAAGGTGTAGCACCTGGCAAGGTGTAGTACCTTGCAAGGTGTAGCGCCTGGCACTACCCTCCTACAGGCTACAGACTGACACACAGGGGCAGCTGCCACTGGGGGTGGGAGCTGCCCCCGTGCGAGGCGGGCGCCGCTCACCGCTGAGAAACTCCTCGATCTGCCCGCGGCCGACCTCGGCCGTGAAGTCGGCGCAGGAGACCCAAAGGATGTCCGCGGCCATGGCCTGGCGTCGGCAGGGGAGGAGACGAAGACCCCATCGGTGTTTCAGTTGGCAGTAGGGGCACCCCCAGTGGCAGCTGTCCCTGTGTGTCAGTCAGCTGTCAGTAGGAGGGTAGCGATGGTCGCTGTTGCTGTTGTTGTTGTTGTCTGGCCTAGGGGCACCCCCAGTGGCAGCTGTCCCTGTGCGTCAGTCAGCTGTCAGTAGGAGGGTAGCGATGATCGCTGCTGTTGTTGTTGCCTGGCCTAGGGGCACCCCCAGTGGCAGCTGTCCCTGTGTGTCAGCCAGCTGTCAGTAGAGATAGCAATGATCGCTGTTGTTGCTGTTGTCTGGCCTAGGGGCACCCCCCAGTGGCAGCTGTCCCTGTGTGTCAGTCAGCTGTCAGTAGGGGTAGCGATGATCGCTGCTGTTGCTGTGAGGTCTGGCCTAGGGGCACCCCCAGTGGCAGCTGTCCCTGTGTGTCAGTCAGCTGTCAGTAGGGGTAGCGATGGTCGCTGCTGATGCTGTGAGGTCTGGCCTAGGGGCACCCCCAGTGGCAGCTGTCCCTGCGAGTGCGAGGGTCTCACTCCGCTGCAGTCGAGTCTCCGTCGTCACGGTCCGGGATGCTCGCCAGAGGGACGCCCCAACCACCCCGCACACCAAACTCTCCTCCTGCTCATCCTTCACTGCCTCCTCCTCCTGCTCATCCTTCACTGCCTCCTCCTCCTGCTCATCCTTCACTGCCTCCTCCTGCTCATCCTTCACTGCCTCCTCCTCCTGCTCATCCTTCACTGCCTCCTCCTGCTCATCCTTCACTGCCTCCTCCTCCTGCTCATCCTTCACCGCCTCCTCCTGCTCATCCTTCACTGCCTCCTCCTCCTGCTCATCCTTCACTGCCTCCTCCTCCTGCTCATCCTTCACTGCCTCCTCCTCCTGCTCATCCTTCACTGCCTCCTCCTGCTCATCCTTCACTGCCTCCTCCTCCTGCTCATCCTTCACTGCCTCCTCCTGCTCATCCTTCACTGCCTCCTCCCGCTCATCCTTCACTGCCTCCTCCTGCTCATCCTTCACTGCCTCCTCCTCCTGCTCATCCTTCACTGCCTCCTCCTGCCTCATCCTTCACTGCCTCCTCCTGCTCATCCTTCACTGCCTCTCCCAAACCCTATCCTCCACCTTCTCCTCGGACCGTTCTCCCCGCTATCTCTCCCCTCCACCTCCACCAAATCTACCTCCACCTTATCGCTCACCCTGTCCACCCTCTCTCCTCCTCGTCACCTCCTCACGTCCCTCTACTCCCCTCTCACCTACCACCACCCACCTCCTCCTCCCCCCCTCCACCGGCACCCTGTCCACTCTCCCCTCTCCCTCCTGCTCCTCCCGATGCTGCTCCCTCGGTGTCCCCCCCTCCCTCTCTCTCCGCGCCGGACGTCTCCCTCGGTGGCGTCCATCGCCCGCTCGCCTCTCCTCTGTGGACGAGACGCGCCCACGTGCCATCAGTTTCAGGGACGATGCCTGTAAAATTAGCATTCATATCGTTGCAGTTATGTGCTACCTAGGGGAACGATTACAGCGAGGCCAAAGGTGAAAGGGCGGAGCCACCCGGGAAGCCTCTGGAACGTTCCGGAAGCTTCCACGAGGGGCGTGGACAGAGCCGGGGTTCGGCCGCCGTGGGAGCGAATATCAGCAGGGGCGGGCGGGGAGGGGGGGGGGTGCTGTAGCGAGGCGCGGGGTCGGCGAGCGAAGAATCGAGAGGGGCTCTCCGTCGCCGCCGTCGCCATCGGCCGCAGTGCCGGCCCGGCCTTCAGCCGCCCGGCCGCTCCACCAGCCAGCGCCGTCAGCCGGCGGCGGCGTGCCGGGGAGAGCGTGGGGCGGGGGCACCGAAGACGCGTGGAAGGCGCGTATCCGTGGCGAGCGTGCCAAGAAGAGAGACAGCCAACCGTGCCGCAGATTGACTAAGCGAACGTTCAACTTCTTTCGATTTAAAGCTTTCGCGACCGCAGGGATTCGTGTTCTCGGTTCTTTCGGTAGAGTCGCCACCACGTAGAAGGGGAAACAATGAAACGATAAAAACGTAAAACGATAAAAATTCTCACGACGTTTCGACTGCAACACGAGAAGCAATCGTCGTCAGGTGTGATGACCTATTTTATTGTTTCCCTTCAACGTGGCTTTACCGAAAGAGCTAAGACTATAGATGGACTCGTCCATCTGAACGACTGCCAAATCGCTCTCCGTGGTTGCTACGTTTAAAACAAAAACAAAAAACGACACTTTTTGTCTAATTTTCTTGCCGTGGTTTTCACACCCTGATGATGATGATGATTGTGCTTTGTGTCGCAGTCGAAACGTCGTGAGAATTTTATTGCTTTACGGTTTTTTTTATCATTTCATTGTTTCCCTTCTACGTGGTGGCGACTTTACCGAAAGAACCAAGAATATGCTCAACTGCTTATTGCGTCGGAGCCACTCGTTACGGTATTACCAGAGGATGTTTGGTTTGCTTGTCACACCGCAACGCAGCTACTTGATTCCTTGCAAAAGCTTTGAATCGATTTTGGTGTTTTTGAACGTCTTAACGCTCCTCCTGTGCAACCTTGATTCGCAGCTTTAGCGGCTGCAGGAATCCGTACTCGTTGGTTCTTTCGGTGAAGCGACGTGAGGTAGAAACAAATAAGGGGATCACGGCATTCCGATCGCAACACTAGCGATCGTCATCAGGCGGGACAACCACAGCAAGAGAAAAAACGAAGCAGTTTTTTTTGTTCTCACTGTGGTTGTCCCACCTGATTACGATCGCTTGTGTTGTGATGGGAACGCCGTGATCTCTTATGTTGCTACCTTACGTGGCTGTACCGAAAGGACCAAAGAGTATACACCTCCTACATTTTGACTGAAAGCTTTCGTGACTGCTGAGAGTCATATTGTTGGTTCTTTCGGTAAAGTTGCCACCACGTAGAAGGGAAACAATGAAATAATAATAAAAATATAAAACAATAAAATCCTCACGACGTTTCGACTGCTTGTGTTGCAGTCGAAACGTCGTGAGAATTTTATTGTTTTAGATTCTTTATTATTATTATTATTTTTATTTCTTGATTTAAAGCTTTCGTGACTGCAGGGATTCATATTCTTGGTTCTTTCGGTAAAGTCTGACTTTGCACACTTTGATAGTGCCAAAAAAGATATCCCATGATGTAGCCGCTGCTCACCCCTAGATATAATAAATGCAGTGATCCGCTTTGCATTGCCCTTGTCCCGTTCGCCTTCTGGCGTTGCTCTCCGGTCTGACACTGGTGGTGAGAATTGGCCATTAAGAAGGCTACCGATATGTCTGCTGGCGGCCAATCAAGGACAATGCAGGCACCCCATGCTAGTGCTGAGGCGTGAAGGACGACACGAAGGCAGGTGCTGTAGGGGCTTCACGCCCAGCTTTAGGAAGGGCTAGCACATCTTGCCGGCTAAGCTAAATCTCCCCGGGGGGGGGGGGGGGGGGGGAAGATGGTGCTGGGAATTCCCTACGCCCTCCCGGGCTATCGGATCGGGATCTTCCTCCAGCACTCACCGAGGGTTCAGCCAACTCGGCCAGCCGGGTAAAGTAGCCCCCCCCTCCTAGCTTGGCGCTATTTCCCCACCGGCTCCCGGCGAAGACCCCCGTCCACGTCGCCTTCCACGAAGCTCCCCTGACGTCACCTCCTCTAACGTCACTCCGCCCGAGGCGAGTGTGACATGACGTCACCCCTCTACTCCTCAAAATTATTATTATTATTCTTGGTTCTTTCGGTAAAGTCACCACCACGTAGAAGGGGAAACAATAAAATAATAAAAATTATAAAACATTAAAATTATTGTAAAACAATAATTATTATTCTTGGTTCTTTCGGTAAAGTCACCACCACGTAGAAGGGGAACAATAAATAATAAAAATTATAAAACATTAAAATTATTGTAAAACAATAAAATTATTATTCTTGGTTCTTTCGGTAAAGTCACCACCACGTAGAAGGGGAAACAATAAAATAATAAAAATATAAATATAAAATTATTGTAAAACAATAAATTATTATTCTTGGTTCTTTCGGTAAAGTCACCACCACGTAGAAGGGGAACAATAAAATAATAAAAATGATAAAACATTAAATTATTGTAAAACAATAAAATTATTATTCTTGGTTCTTTCGGTAAAGTCACCACCACGTAGAAGGGAACAATGAATAATAAAAAATATAAAACATTAAAATTATTGTAAACAATAAAATTATTATACTTGGTTCTTTCGGTAAAGTCACCACCACGTAGAAGGGAACAATAAAATAATAACTAAAATATAAACAATTAAATTATTGTAAAACAATAAATTTTATTATTCTTGGTTCTTTCGGTAAAGTCACCACCACGTAGAAGGGAAACAATAAAATAATAAAATATAAAACATTAAAATTATGTAAAACAATAAAATTATTCTTGGTTCTTTCGGTAAAGTCACCACCACGTAGAAGGGAAACAATAAAATAATTAAAATATAAACAATAAAATTATTGTAAAACAATAAAATTATTATTCTTGGTTCTTTCGGTAAAGTCACCACCACGTTAGAAGGGGAAACAATAAAATAATTAAAATATAAACAATAAAATTATTGTAAAACAATAAAATTATTCTTGGTTCTTTCGGTAAGTCACCACACGTAGAAGGGAAACAATGAAATAATAAAAATTATAAAACAATAAAATTATTGTAAAACAATACAATTATTTTCTTGGTTCTTTCGGTAAAGTCACCACCACGTTAGAAGGGGAAACAATAAAATAATTAAAATATAAAACAAAAAATTATTGTAAAACAATACAATTATTATTCTTGGTTCTTTCGGTAAAGTCACCACCACGTAGAGGGAAAATGAAATAATAAAAATTATAAAACAATAAAATTATTGTAAAACAATAAAATTATTATTCTTGGTTCTTTCGGTAAAGTCACCACCACGTTAGAAGGGGAAACAATAAATAATTAAAATATAAACATAAAATTATTGTAAAACAATAAATTATTATTCTTGGTTTCTTTCGGTAAAGTCACCACCACGTAGAAGGGAAACAATGAATAATAAAAATTATAAAACAATAAAATTCTCACGACGTTTCGACTGCACACAAGAAGCAATCGTCATCAGGGTGTGAAGCCAAAGGCTGAGCGAGTGAGTGGTTGAGTGAGTGGCTGAGTGAGTGGCTGAATGAGTGAGTGGCTGGGTGAGTGAGTGGCTGAGTGAGTGGCTGAGGTAGTTAGTGCGTGGCTGAGTGAGTGAGTGGCTGAGTGAGTGGCTGAGTGAGTGGCTGAGTGAGTGAGTGGCTGAGTGAGTGGCTGATGAGTGAGTGGCTGGGTGAGTGGCTGAGTGAGTGGCTGAGTGAGTGGCTGAGTGAGTGAGTGGGTGAGTCAGTGGCTGAGTGAGTGGCTGAGTGAGTGAGTGGCTGAGTGAGTGGCTGAGTGAGTGGCTGAGTGAGTGGCTGAGTGAGTGAGTGGCTGAGTGAGTGGCTGAGTGAGTGGCTGAGTGAGTGGCTGAGTGAGTGAGTGAGTGGCTGAGTGAGTGGCTGAGTGAGTGAGTGGCTGAGTGAGTGGCTGAGTGAGTGAGTTGCTGAGTGAGTGAGTGTTGCAGTCGAAACGTCGTGAGAATTTTATTGTTTCGATGTAAAGGTTTCACGACTGCAAGGCTTCATGTTCTTGGTTCTTTCGCTAAAGCCCCGTAGAATGAGAATAAAACAATGAAGCAAAATAAGACAATAGAATTC